GTTAGCTACTTCTTGTTCCTATTCATCGGAACTTTCTTCATCGCTCCATGTAGCCACATGACCCTTGTGCTTATTCTTTGATTGACCCTTTTTCTTCAATTGTGGGCAATCATATTTAACATGCCCTGGCTTTTTGCATTCGTAGCAAATGATTGGGTCCTTCTCTTTCGGTTCATTTTTGAGGCCTTCATTTCGTTTGAATTTTCTTCCACGATAAGGTCTCATCATTTTTCTGAACCGTTTGGCAAACAATGCCATTTCCTCGTCATCGTCGTCGTTATTCGAATTACTCTCATCTTTTGTGGAATTGAGAGCAACTCCAATGTTTTTCTTCTTCTCCTTCTCCTTTGGTGTCTCGTCAATCTTGTCGAGGTCCACCTCAAATTCGAGCATCATTTCATGAGTGAGGAGTGACCCAATTAGCTCTTCAAGAGTTAAGGACGTTAAGTCCTTAGACTCGATGATTGCCGTCTTCTTTGATTGCCACGATTTTGGGAGGGAGTAGACTAACTTCCTCACAAGCTTTTCATTTGAAATGATCTCTCCATATGATTTGAGACCATTGACAATCGTTGAAAATCTATCCGTCATAGCTTTGATATCTTCATTTCGTTTCATCCTGAAATTTTCATAGCTATGCGTTAGAATACTAATTTTAGATTTCTTTACCTCATCGGTACCTTCATAAGTGACTTGAAGTTTGTCCCATATTTCTTTGGCGGTTGTACACGATGAAACTCTTCCGTATTCATCTGGTCCAAGAGCACAAAAAATGATATGGATGGCTTTGGAGTTGAGCTGGAACATTCTTGTCTCTCCTTCACTCCACAACCTTGGATGAATGAGAGGTTTGATGTATCCTTCTTCTACAGCATTCCATGCTCCCATTGTCACTTGCTTGAATGAAGTACATCATTCTATTCTTCCAATAGGCATAGTTAGCTCCATTGAAGAAAGGAGGCTTGTTGATGGGCATCGAGTCGAGACCAGAGTTGAAGTTTGAAGCGGAGGCCATTGATGACTTTGATTATCGATATAACTCTTCCTGAATCGACTCAAGAGGCGATTAAACCTTCAAATGAGTTAGGCTCTGATACCAATTGTTGAGTTAATCGATCGACAGAATCGGCCAAGAGGGGGTGAATTGGCAATTAAAATTTCGGTGGAAGCTTTTGCAGAAAATTGAAAAGATTTGCACAGCGATTTAGAGTGGTTCAACTTTCTCAATCAAAGTCTACGTCCACTACCTTAGCTATCCACACTAAGGATTTTCCACAAATTCACTAATTTGTCTTTCTTTTGAGGACAAAGAGTAACCTTACAAACCCTCAAGAATTATACCCCAAATTCTTGAGAAAACTCTCTCCCAAAGAGAATAATACAAATTTGCAAACTTACAAGGAAATCCTCACAAGGTAGATTGTTTGCACAATTCTAGAACAAAGAAAAGAACACTCAAAGATGAATACAATTGAGCACAATATGTGTTCTTGAAAGCAAAATGAATATTGAATGAAAATAGGCTTGAAATGCTCAAACTTGAGGTTTGATGCTTTCTCTTTGATTCTCTCTTGATTCTAGTTGCTTGATGTTTCTTGTTATTGATCAATAGCTTATAAGCTTGTTTAAATACACCTTGAATCACTTCTGAACGTTAGGGATGATTAGTGAAGATAATATAGCCGTTTAAGTGTGAAAACATTTAATAAAAATGCTTGGAGCGTGGGGGGAATCGGTTCCCCCTCATAGGGAATCAGTTCCCTAAGTGTAAAATTCAAATATTTCGACCGTTGAACAGGGGGAATCGGTACCCCCTATGGGAGAATCGGTTCCCTCCGAGCATTCTGGAAATCTCAGAGCCAAACCATTCAGGGGGAATCGGTTCCCTCTAAGCAATCTGTAATTTTTGGCTTTGAAATGGTTCGAAATACTTTAAAAGATTATTTTGAAATTGTTTAAGATTAAAACTTAATTTTACACTTAAGTAAGGATTAAAAATGATTTTTGAAATATTTGGAGTAATGTTTTGATATTCGAATAATTATATCGAATATACTTAGAAAATCATTTGGAAAATCTTAAAATTCATTTAACTTAATTTGTTATATCGAAATATCAAAATGTTTTCAACAATTTCTAATTTTGACACTTGATTGTCTGTTATTTTATTCTAGTCACTATTTATTCCTGATTTGGTATTGCTTTTCTTATTTGTTGCATATTGGTCATTGTATTTTAATATATGTGTATGTTTCATATTCTCATGTATTTTATGTATATGTACCATATGTATGTATTTATTTAAATATCTTTGCTTTAATATCCATTTAATTGTTCCTAATTAGTATTTTTTAAATTTTTAGCTTTTGTCATGTAAATTTGTTTGTGCATATAGATCTAGACATTTCGAATATATATGAAAACCTCATAAGCATAACTCAATTAATTCTATAATTGGATTAAATGTAATATTTATTTATTTTAAAATATTAAGAAATGATCGTCTTAAAGTAACTAGATGTCATATTTTAATATTTTAAAATAAATTGATACCCTACTAGAAGAACCTAAAAATCGAGTATGCTAAAATTAATCAAGTTTGAAGGGAAAAGGAAATATTCTCTTATTTAAACTTATCGAGACAATTCACCTAATTTTATTAGGGATTATGTTTCGATATTTTTAAATAATTAAATATCCCTTATCTTTTCTAATTAAATTTGTAATTTGGATTAATTGCTTTTTATTTTGTCGAATCAAATTATTTTAATTTCAAATTCTTGGGAGAAATTGTTATATTTCTTTTATTCAGTTGGAAGGAGAAATATTCGTCCTAAAGTATTTTAGGGATTATTTTCTCTTTGATTGGAAATATTTGAATATTTTTTATTTTTTCGTAAAATTTTTCGTTAAATAAAAATTGCATGATTGAATTTGAAATAATATGATCTTAACTTAAATTTATATTTGAATTCTTAGATTTCCACTATTAGAAACAATTTATAATCGATGAGTACCAATTGTTTGGGCATTGTGGGAGTGTTTATCCTTCCCCACACGTAATAGATCCTCGAACGCCCTTTTTATTACAAAAAAAAAGAATTTTTGATTACACGTAAACTGATTTATCTTTTAAAATGATTTTTTAAAAACTCTTTTAAAAGAAAATTTTTAAGTATTCGGACTACTTAACTCAAAAGATCAATAGGGATTTTAAAATATTTCATAATCTTTTCAAAGAAAACCCTCAAGTTGACTAAATTTTTTTTCGTCTGGGCGAAAAAACATGTCACCAAGTCCAGATGCTCCCCGGAACCCTTTGTTATAACTTCTCTCATCTCAACGTATTGGAAATTCAATTCCCTCGTAAACGCCCGCAAGGTGTTCGATGAAAACCTGATATCGAATCAATTAACGGTTTGCTACAACGCTTTGATTTCCGGGTACGCGTTAAATTATCGGGTTTTCAATGTTATTGCTTTGTTTTGTAGAATGATGGAAACGGGTCTTCTTGTTAATTCAGTTACAATGTTGGATTTGATTCCGATACTTTCGGAACCCGGATACATAAGTTTAGGGATGTCTTTTCATTGTTGTTGTGTGAAGTTGGGGTTGAATTTTGATTTCTCTGTTTATAATTGTATACTTACAATGTACTTGAAATTTGGGGACATTGAGTTGGGAAGAAATTTGTTTGATGAAATGCCTGAGAAGGGTTTAATTACTTGCAATGCTATGATTTCAGGTACGCACAGAATGGGCTCGCTGCTAATGTTTTGGAACTCTGCAAGGAAATGAAAGGTGCCGGAGTTTGTCCGGATGCGGTTACCTTTGTTTGGGTTTTATCATCTTGTGCACACCTTGGAGCTATTAGTGTTGGCCGGGAGGTTGAACAGAGAATGGAGTCTAGTGGAGTCCGTCTTAATCCGTTTTTAAACAACGCACTGATTAATATGTATGGTAGGTGTGATAATTTGATTAAAGCCGATGCCATGCCTGTGGAAACTGTGGTTTCATGGACAGCGATTATAGGTGGATATGGAATGCATGGATATGGAGAGACTGTGGTGGAGTAATTTGATGAGATGATTAAGAGTGGTATTCGACCTGATGGTGCTGCATTTGTGAGTATATTATGTGTATGTAGTCATGCAGGCTTGACCGGAAAAGGCTTGGATTATTTTTCCGAAATGAAGACGAAGCATCGTCTGCAGCCAGGTCCAGAGCATTATTCTTGTATGGTGCATCTTCTAGGGCGGGCTGGTCGCCTAAACGAAGCTTTTGAAGCTCATCAAATCAATGCAGGTAAAACCAGATGGAGCAGTCTGGGGATCCCTTTTGGGTGCCTGCAAAATTCACCGAAATGTAGAGATAGCAGAGCTGGCTTTCAAACGAGTTATCAAGTTCGAGCCCATGAATAGCGGTTATTATGTTCTGCTATCCAATATTTATTCAGAAGCCGAGAATTTGGAGGGAATATTGAAGGTTAGAGTAATGATGAGAGATCGAAAGCTCAAAAAGGATCCGGGTTTTAGCTATCTCGAGTATAAAGGGGGAGTTCACCTTTTCTTACCCGGAGACAAAAGTCACCCACAAAAAGAGGAGATATATAGAATGGTAGATAAGCTGGAAAGTTTGGTGAAGAAACTTGATGGCTACAAAGACGATGAAGAAAGGAGGAACAGAGAACATTTACTTGGGGTGGGTGTTCATAGTGAAAAGTTGGCAATTGTGTTTGGATTGTTGAACTCAGAGCCAGGGACAGAGATTGTTGTGATAAAGAACCTAAGAATATGTGAGGGTTGCCATTTATTTCTCAAGGGCGTCAGTAAGATTGTGGATCGTCAACTTGTTAGAGATGCAACCCATTTCCACCACTTCAGAGATGGTCTATGTTCATGCAAAGACCACTAGTTTTTCATTTTAGAAGGATTTCATTTTCTGCAAGTAATAGAAAGTATGCAGTATGAAGATTGATTTAGAATCAATGCATCAATTTCTTATATTCGAAGTCTCAAAACAGTATTTGTGAATAATACAGATTACAATGTCATCGGATTTTATAATGTTACATTAGTTTTCGCCATTCCGGTGCATTGCTGCTATTGCTCGATTATGCGACCTAGGTCTACGACTGCATCGGTTCCGGAGACACAAACATCTTCAACAAACGGAACGGTTTTCCAAACGGTCAGTTTCATCAGTTCATTTGCTTCACACAAACAAAATGTTTTTCGTTTTAGCAAACATGTATTCCACAACAATTACACCGATTAGCAGAATCTTACCTCCAGCAGTTCTATCCTTTTTGATACAAATGGCACCATAGTGAGAACCAGCCACTTCCAGGAGTGTGAATTGCCAATTGTTTGTAGGATTCGTGGGGTCATCGAATGATTCAACTATTATATCAGACGCCTGTCAATGTGACCAGTGTTAATCAAAAAGTTCCGATACAGTCCAGTCATACATATTCAACTATGTCATTTATCTATTTATATTCCATATATACCAAGTTGTACAAACCTCAGAAACTGAACTTCCAGGAGGATGAAAGTTCCGCAAAGTTGTTTCCCTAAATCGAATAGTGAAGGTCTTGAAAGGTACCGCCGAAAAGCCTTTTCCCAATGCTTTTACATATGCCTCCTGGAAATAAGAATCAGATTGCAGAACAATTAGAAGGAAAAAAAAATGAAAACATGTTACATTTGTCATGCTTCAAGGCGGAAATTAGTATTAGTATCTTGATTACTTTGAGAGTCCATAATTTGATAAACTCCTGACGCTGAACTTCAGGGTCAGATATAGTAGTTAAAACTTTCACTTCGTAAGCCGAAAAATAGCGTTGAGCAAAGGCTATTAAATTGTTCTTTGTCCTTCGTTGCTTCTCTTCGATATCAATGCCAATCTACAATTATTGAAAGCAAACACCACCGAGTTTAAGTATGCATAGCAATAGAAATTCAAAACAAAAAACCCACATACCTATTGTTGCAAGCAGATGCATGTGAAATCTCACAACAATAATTAAACAACACATAGGACTTACTGGCACATTTACAGTGACACCACAAGCAATCATAGTAGATGTGTGTGACAGATTAAACTGCAATGGCAGTGGGCTGAAATTGTCCTCGTCTCGCCACTCCACCTATTTCAATACGGAACAAATAACAAGATAAGCAAGACCATTAAAAGATATCCGAAAATATGAATTCAACAGATATTAAACCAATGTCCTTGAAAAAAAAGGACTGCAAATCTAATATGGATCTTACCTCAGGCTTCCCGTACAAATTCTTCCTAAATTTCAAAGATCTGGGATTCATTTGAGAATTTGTCTGATCTAGCAATACAAAAACTATGTAAGTGGTCTATGCAAAGCATATGACAATAAAAAAATCTTGAGTCCCAAAGAAATACCAGCCTAAAACGTTCTTTGCAGATAGAAATCTTCACATTGTACTGTTAATTAGCAATTGGTGGTAAACCACTGAAACAAAATACACATGATGCCAAAAGATACTTGGAAAATAATGACAAGACTTGTAGCTTTTGTTTGAAAGTGTGAATCTAGACCGGAACTGCAAGTAATAGCTTGAAACTCCAGATGTCGAAGGGAAAATCAGATCAAGTATTAGGATTATACATCAGCAATATATTGAACAAAAATGATTACTTTCTTTGGGGTGACTACAAGACGAGGTAGTATTTGTTTAGAATTTTCTTAATCATTGACAATGCACGCAGCTGCACAAAATTGTTTGGTTCTGACTAAACAAAAAAGCATAGCAGCACCAACCATATGGTAATTTTGCTTGAAGTGTCAATTAACCAAGAAAGAGTGGGCAAAATGATATGGATAAAAATGTCATCAGATATATTGATTGCCTTTGATCACTTCATAAAACAGGCTAAGAAAAAGAAGAAAATGGAAAAAAAATAAGAAAACCTACATCTGGCAATGGTAGTGCGAACCAAGGCTCGAGCAAGAAGAGCTCTTTTCTTTAGCTGGTCTCCACGCATTCGGTTAACACCCTCTCTTTCACATGGGGATAACAGTTCAGAATACTGATTCAAAAGACCCCAACTCTTCACCTCATCTGGCAATACGTACCAAAGATGGGTTTCCCTTGAAGAAAAAAAATATAACTTAAGCAGAAATGCAAGAGTTTGGAAAACCATATAGCACCCACGGATTATCACCCAAAAAGGCATTTTAATTGAGTGCATATATACCATAAGTTGTAATTGGAAATCAACGAATTAGCAACAAGGGAATAAATCATTACATAGGAGACGGAAGCTGCAAGGGAACCAGAGGAGGCAAAGCAGCAGAGAAATTCCGCTGAAAGCATCGTATATTCATCTCCAACCGCTCTTGCAAACACCAAAAATGACAACTGCGAATCACAATTTACAATTCTTGAGAATTAAATCATGTCTTGGGTTTTTTGCTAAGAAATTGAATGGCGTTATTGTTAATAAAGAACGGGTGGGCTGGCTGGACCAGATCTTCCTCTTTTGGGCTTACTGCTGTTTATGTTTTTAAGGGCAATTTTAGCCCAATACTGGAGGGCTAATTATTTAGTTCAATACGACACAAAGTAATTTATTTAAGGATCTATGATATTTGTTATAGTGACCTGGAACTCATAATAAGTTTTAATAAAAACATTTTTTATTAAAACTTTTTATCTCGATGTGATAAAATTTAATAAAAAATTATATTTTATTAGAATTTATCATCTCGACGTGACGAGTTTAAATAATATTTTAAGTAAACTCGTCACCTCAACGTGATATGTTCCTTAAACACTTTAGCAAATGTCTTAGATACTAAAATAAGCTTCTATATGATATATTGGACTAATTAATAAAACTATTTGCTTTAATGGTCCAAAAAAGACTTTTTTAAGACATTAAAACCATGAATATATAATTTAGCTATTGAGTTTTTTTTAAATGTAAACTAAAACTATCTAAAGTATTAAAATTTAAAGTTTTAATTTAATAAAATTTAAATATTTGATTAAAGAAATTTATATTAAAAAAGTTAAGTGATTAAATTCAAAATCAAATTCAAAATCAAAATCAATAATTAAATTACAGTTTGAAGCTAAAATCAAAAGGCCAAATTGCACATCAAAACCTAAGTCCAAGGGTCAAATGGTACATTAATCCGATTAAAAATCTATAACACTCTCATATATGCTTTTTAAGTAACATCATCATCGTTTAGGGTAAACATAAATTTTGGTGCTTGAGTATAGTTTTAAGATTCAATTTAGTCTTTCTAAGTTCTTTTTTTTCTTCTCAAATAGGTATTTGAATTTGACTTTTGGTTCAATTTAGTATCTATTAGACCAGAAAGATATGTACCCTTTTTTTAATTTTAAATAAGTGAAAATTAGCTGAAAAGATGTTATTAGCTTCAGAACAGTAACAACAAGTATGATGAACATAGAAAATGTAAAAAAGAAAAAAATCTGCACTCAAAATCACATACACAATATTTCCAAAGGGAAAAACAAAAAGAAACCAAAACACAAGATACTAGCAGTTGGCATTTTCCCACCCCATCTGACTACACAATGCAAGCATTCATTCATTCATTCATTCATTCATCTCCAAGCTTCGAAAAGCTCGGCTCTCATATTTATCAGCCCAGCAATCCTTGTTCCTTTATTCTTCCTAACATCACCTCCTGCATTCCCCATTGATCCTTCATTTCCCTTTTTTGTTCCCTTCTTTAGACTCGAAGCACTTGATTGATCAACTCTGTTCTTTCCGATACCGCCTTTTTCGAGTCCATTCGCTAAAGAATTCACTTGACACACTAACGTGCAAGGGCAGTTATCGAGTAGAGATCGGTTTCCACCACTAGTGTTATCGATTGTAGTCAGGAAACCCTGAGAGCTACTTTCGGTGGTCAAATTCTCTTTAGCAGAGTGAGGGGGGCTCTCCACTGAAGGTTCTTCAGCAACAAAAGCTTTCTCTCCTTCGCTTTCGCCGTTTACCTCCTCATTGGCATCTTCGAGTAATTGCCAAGAGCTTTGCTGTCCATTCTTATCAGAAGGCTCTGAGCCAGAATCGGGATTAGAGTCTATCATAGAATCTTCTCTTTCTTTAAGTGTTCTAATAATAAGTGTCTTCAGAAGATTCATCACCTGGACTGCATGCATCAATGCAGTTAAAGGATCTGACATCTGCAATAAACAGCAGTAGTGAATAATCGTTGTGACAAGCAGTGTCGAACTGGCTCAAACCTCAGTAACCGATAATTTGCATGAAGTTCGAGTTCGAAATGTGTATTTAAATTAAAACTACCGAAATATATTTACTCACTTGAGTCATGTTCGGAGCAAATACCATCGCGACATTACGTGCATTCATCTTGTTCAAATGTTCCAATTGCACAACATCAGCCATTAAATTTATTGCCCAATCCAGTAGAGCAGCTTCAGTCGGAGGAAGAAGCCTTACAAGCTGAGCACACTCTTCTTCTGACTGGGCTTCCATTACCTCCTCTGGAGGAAGAGAATCCAAAACGCCACTAGGAAGTTCCCTAAACCAAGCCTGCAAAACCATAAACACCACAACTGAGTTGAAAAATCCATTCAACAGGAGAAGTTCTCAACATTGTTTGCAGATAGCTTGGCAGCATTTTGAGCCCGTGAATCAGTTCTTTCAATAGTTTGGTTCATTCTCAATATTTTAATTACGTCAATAAAATAGAGACACCTACGAGCCGATATAAACATGTTCAAAATACTCGAATACAGCCAAAGCTATTAAAGAGCAAAGAAAATACCTTTATAAGACCCGCCAAGCAATGTACATCTATCCCATCTGGTATAGCTGCCCTATTTAGTTGTTCCCTAACATACTCCTCCTGACTGTTCTCAGCATTAATTCTGAAAATTCCTTCTGCCTAAACATATATATATATATAAGAAATTAACTACTAAACCGGATACTTCAAGCAATTATATAGCCATAGACCACAGTAGAGAAAAGATCGATGGTCATATACCTGGAGGCCTCCTCCGGCATATAAATGATTTTGCATCAGTAGTAGTATGGTTGGCACACTATTCCCTCTAGAGTCCAGTGAGAGCTGCATAGATTCGGTCGAAACTCCGAACACACTCGCGCTGCGCGAGAAGAGAACCTTAGTCAATGAAAAAAAAACTGGCACAGATATGATAAAGACCTTACCAATTCTATGATCACAGAAAAAAAGATGGTCATTTTTATTTCCACACATTCAATGAAATCAATCGAATTCAACTATAGAATTTAAAGTTTGATCTTTGTTCTTTGATCTGAGAGCCACACACAATGAAACAAACGTAGAATAAATATATTACATGTAAGGTTTATTCATCAAAATGATATAAGAAAAAGGTATAGAAACCATCAGCAAGCTAAAAAGAATTCAATGAAGAGAAAGACTTGAACTTTGGGGGAAGAAATTTGCATCAAATTGAAGCAAACTGTTTGGTTCTGGCTCAAAGAAACTAATCATCATCTGAAGCTCCTAAAATGGGTGGATTTTTACAACTTTAGTTTGAAGAAAGGGAAAAAAATAATAAACCTTTTCCTAGTATTCCTTTCATAAAAACACTAATCCTTTGACAATCATGAAAGATACCCCATATTTGAATTTCAATGATAAATTTCAAGAAAGAAACAAATAAAGAATCTGCATAAATAAACTTGCCTGGCACTGGGGGCTCTTCTGGGGACCTCAGGCTCAAATTCAACCGGCAAGCCAAGGAATCCATGGAACCTATCAAAAGTCACATGAGCAACATGCCTGAAATTGGTAGGCAACCCGATTTCCATTGAACAAAGCTCTTTACTTCCAGAAAGGCTACACCCAACCAAAGACTTCCTAAAAGCAGCCACTAAAAGCGTTAACAAAGACAGCTGATCCCCTTCTCTTTCCCTTTCTTTCCGCTCTCCCTCTTGCCTATTCTCTTCTTCTTCTTGATCACTCCCTTGGGCTATTATATTCTCCACAGTGCTTACATTAGAGCTTGAAAATGAAGGGAAGTGAGATGGGGATGATTGGAGTACTTCGGTCATAATGCTCTTTTCCCACCCTTTATTGGGGTCAACAAATTTAGAGCCAAGAAATCAGAAAAAAAAAGGGTTTTCTTTGGCGTCTATGTAGAGTTGGATTGAAGCAAAGATTTTGGATGGTAGGAAGCAACTATCATCACTCTTTTTAGGGTTTATTTCCCTTTGTTATATAATTATCTTGGCTGGCTTAGGCTTTGAGGAGTGGAGAAGCTAAGTGTAAAGATAGGAAATTTAGGGAAAGGGAGAGAAAAGTGGTGGTGGTGGGTGGAGGAGTTGAATATGTTCTTCATTTACCCTCCCAAAAAGCCCATCATCTATTAACCAAATGGAGGTCGCTTCTCTACACTGGATTATCCTCTTGCTTCTTCCTCAGCCAATCAAGTGTTGCCATTTAAGCATTTAATGAAGGAGTTATTTTAGCTGCTTGACACATGGTTTATGTTTGCCATTAAAGCATATATGATATGATAAAGACATGCATACTTTAGTTTTAAGCCCTCCAATTCCATTGATTTTTTTAATATTCCTCTATATATCAGATTACCATAAAAATCACTAATAAAATCAAAATTTAACTATTAATTTTGCGTTTTATCATATGATAATTGGTTCGATTTTATGGTTTCGAATCCCAACATGATTTTACATGAAAAAGAAATTGTCTTTATGTAAATCTAACAGGTGTAAAATCTGTTGTCATAATCTTAGTTTAACAAGATCATGTGGATCCCCACCAGTTTCCAAGCAAATATATCCCAGAGGCTTAAAACTATACATATTTGTCCCCTATCACTTCACTTTTTCTGGTTTACCATTGGAAGGATGAATACATTTGTCAGGGTACTTCTGACGTTAGTGTTAGTAATTTTCATTCTCACATAGAATGAAAATACATTAGGATTCAATATTTAAGGTTTTCATTCTTCATTTCCTTGATACGTGGTAGAGAACAAAGGGGGTTTTTCGTGCTATGTCGTTGTCGTCCTTCTCGGCTCGTGCTCGTTTTAGAGAAAATTCGTAAGGAATTTTTCTCTGAAAGAACAAATGAAAAAATGTGAAAGAATTTGTTTGGTATTTAGAGGCTACTAAGTCTGTAGAGAGTAACATTTGTATTTAAATTTTAAAATGTTAGAATGAACCTGACCAATTTTATGTCTCAATTCGAGAGTTACAGAAGTAAATTCAAGAGTTAGAAATGTATGTGAGCTATACAATGAATCTAGACGCTTTGAGAGCCATATTCATCTGCTTAATTCAACAATTTCATTTGTTTAAAGATAGTACTTACACCGTGTTAACCTCGGGACATGATCTGCCTATTGGAGCGATTATACACATCGAG